ACGGTATGTTGAAGGTAAAAAAACATGAGGTATGGTGTTTGGATTTGTTTTGTTGACAGCATAAAAAATTTAATGAATAATTTGTTTACCTTGTATGCACCATATGTTGCCATCCCGCATATGAGTATCATCAGCAGAGAGATCGCTGAGGCAATGCACATGTCTAAAGCAGAGAGAGGAAGAGTCCATCGTCAGTTTAAAGTCACTTTGGTCAATTCCAAATACATTTTCTGAAAATGTTTACAACATCATGCTCAGCGGATCTGGGGGAAACAAGTTCTGTACTGAAAATAAACGACAAGCTGCATCTGTCAGACAAGGAATTACTCTGTCATTCACTCCATGTCAGCCTGACCTCATATCAACTCAACATAACAGAACAAATCACTCTGTTACATAAGGACAGCGCAGCGGAAAAACCAAATACAGTACATACAGGCACAACTGGAGAAAAAAATGTGAATTCAATTCAACATTTCTCTGTCCTGTGACCCATTAAAATGCCATGTACATCTATTATAAACTGGCAATGAACATTTTGTAGCTCTGAGTCACTGGATGAATCTCATTTGCTCATAAAAGGACTTTTAGAGAGGCAGAGAGCCTAATTTAGCTGAATGTCAGACGGGTACACAGAACCAGACCTTTGAAAAAAATCTACACCACATACTCAAAGAAATGAAAATGTCATCAATAGAAGAAACAGTACTAAGCATCAAAAGTCAATTAAGAAAAGCTGAGATTGTTTTAAACAAGATTCACTCTTCTTTTAGCTCTGTTTGGTTCCCAACGTTTTACAGAAATATCTGGCTCTATGGCTGCTAAATGCTCCACTATGTTCACCAGCTAGACGCTAACTTTGTCTGTGTCATTTGGCGCTGGATAGGTAGCGCACAGCGGGTTAGCAGAGCTATTTCAATGAAAACAGCTGCGAGCTTAGCCTAGCTTAGTATAAAGACTGGAAGCTAGAGATAATAGCTAGCTTGGCTCTGTGCAGAGATTACATAATCTGCCTACTAACACCTCTAAAGCTCACTAATCTAAATTCATAGTTTGACACAAAAAGAAATGTAAAGACATGGATTTGTTTCTATAAGTGCTGTAACTCTATCCTACAAAACAGAGGCCACTAGTTAGCTTTAGAAGTGTGAAATGCTAGCTGTTAGCCACTGCTTCCAGTCTCTATGCTAGCTAAGCTAATCACCGCCTGACTCCAGTTTTGTACTCAATAAACATATTTCTAAAACTTCATATATTTATATGAATGAATGTAAGTGTCCAACTGTGTTTTTAAAACAGGTAAATTAGTATGACATGGTGCAAGAAATCCAACATGTTGTCCCTTTAGTGTTTATCGTCAACAACACAATAACAGAGTAATATGAAAAATAGCAGCATAGAGCACTGTTCATTGCCTGTTGGGCTTATTCTGGTCTATCTCGTGGCTAAAGGTCCTGTTTTGAAGAGTTAATGTCTTCGGTACAAGCTTTTGAGGCTGTATTAAATCATATTTTTGAACCAATGCACCAAAAATAATGACTCTGTCAACAAAAGCACAACATCAAATATGCTGAGTCATCTGGCTGAAAAGTCCCTCTTAGTTGATTATCAGATTTATTATTCAGCAGCAGAATTAGCGGCATATTTCCAACCCATACGGAGTGGCAGAAGTTTAGAAATTCTAAAACCACACCGCAGCTGTCACTACAGCTTGTTGTTGTTTGTCAAATCTGAATATTCAGCGCTGCCAAACTAACGGAGCAACATTGCAGAGTTCCCGTTCCTACGAGCACAGGTCATTTTTCAGTTCCTAATGCAGGGGTGGCAGCGGCTGGCCCAGCCTGCAGTAATGGATCATGGGACACCCTAATCCTTTTGGAACTGGGACAATACAGTCATTCCCAATCAGAGGCTACCAGCAGCATGTGCTGTGGCCCACCTCCAGTCAGACTGTTCCAGTGTACACCTGGCCTGTTAAGAAGGCTTTTCAAACGCCCAGCACAGATGGACATTAGGCTTGCATGTCTGCGGCTTTGGGCGTTTGATTTAGAAAGGAGTGCTGACCGTCGTCTAGACCTACGTGTGAGGTCCCTCTAATAACACAATAAATCATTCTGTTAGTCAGATGACAGCCATGTTGAGCCTATCACCATGCAAGCAGAGATTAAGTCATCTGTCACAGTGAGTTGTAGGATTCAGTCTCAGGTAGAGCAGAAACACTGCACAGTGCAATGGAGTTTGAGTAAATGTAATTATATGTAACATCAACTGTTAAGGTATTGGAATATAGAAATAACAAGTCAGCTGATGGCGGTATTACCAGACTAACTATGGGATGTTTACTGTAAAGTGACGGCCTACTGGGCTACTTACTGGCGTCATCCATGACATCCAGGTCATTAGCCAACTCAGCGCTGGTCAGGTGGTACTGCTCAGGATCACTGAGCGCTGTGAGCAGGATGAGTAACACCACGGCATTGATGAGCTTAAGAGAAAGAGGACATATGGGTAGATAAAGGCAACAATATGGACAGACAGGCGGGGGGCAATACGGGCATGAGACAGTGGAACAGTTAGAATGAAAAGAGGCAGATGCTGAAGGTATTCTGACATAATGTTCATACTAGAAATAGTGCAGCTATGGTAAATGACTATCTACAGTATGAGCTGTAAGTACAGGCACATACATGAGCCTTTGTTTCGGTGTTCGCAGCTCATTATGCAGATGACTCATACATCCCCATTGATCAGGTGAACGTAATGGAAAATTCTCTGCAGTCAATAGGCAACCTGACACAAAACCTGCTACCTGAAGAGGCCTAGCACTAATTTATTCATAGGGAGCAGACAGAGGATTTTTCCACATGTGGTGTTTGGTTTAGTTAAGCCTCTCCTGCACATTCAGTTTAACAGAGTGATGCATTCAAGAGGAGATACTGCACTTAAAAGCACAAAATCAAAGGTACTGTACATACATGTTCACGTTTTGATTTAAAATTCTTTAAAACAAACACACTGTGAGTTATTTCTTATGTGAAAGATTCGCAACCTGAAGTATAACACCAATGAGGTAGAGGAGGATAAACCCACCTTAAACTACAGAACCCTCCTTTATAGGCCTCTACAAGTGTACCCCAGTAACTTACAGTACCACAGAATGATATACTTTAGAGTGGGCTGGGAAATGATATTTACAGAGGAGAAGAATTCAACCTCTTTCTGGGTATAGAAGAATTAAACATAATAATAATAATAATAGTAATAATAATAACACCCAGCATGATGATACAATGAACTGAACACGGTTTCTGGATGTCTACATGGGTGCAGTGAGTGACAGACGATAGACGGTGCTCACCATGTACCAGACCCCCAGGATGACGGTTCCTGTGCGGACATGGCAGCACAGACAGCAGCTGGTGGAGTACCAGCGGTCCCACGGAGAGATCATCATCTTGTCTGCGAGCATTTACACACGGTGTCGGTGTTTTATGAGAGAGGGAGACCCCGCTGTCCTCCCGTCAAAGTCCGCTGAACGTCGGTCCTCCTCGGTAACGAATGACGACTGCCTCTGACCTGTCCGTTACTTATCACCGGGAGCAGCCTAACGGAACGGAGCGGCTGGCGTCAAGCTAGCATTAGCGTGCAATGTGACTTCCGGTTTCAAAATAAAACAACGAGAATGATTGAGAATTAACTTTTTAAGGGAAATATTTAAGGCAAAATCACCCTCTATTATTATTATTATTATTAATATTATATTATTATGCAATGCAATTTATTAATTGGTAAATATACCATTATGAGTCTCTTAAAGTAAGATATTGACAAATATTTGTCCCTTATCACCAATATTGATACATCTGTCAATTATTTCCTAAATCGATTGTTTTAGTCCACAAAATGTCAACAGACAGTTGAAAATTACGCATCAGAATTTTTCAGTATCAAACTCAATGGCCCATAAAATTAATAATAATAAATTATATTACATTTAAAAAAACAATCCTCACAAAATAGTTGCAGATTAATTTCTTGTTAGCTACTTAACAACTAATCAACTAATCGATACAGCTGTCACATGATATACCAGGTAAAATCATTTTAATATATGTAAAGATGTCTGTTACTGGCAGTTACGGGGCACTTTCATTAAACCATATCAGTGCCCCAGTTTCCAGGAATATTACTGTTCCAACCTTCTGCCTAGTAACAGTGCTGTTATTTTAGGACAAAGTCCTTCAGCTTCCGGTCTTATTCTGGGCAACTTGTCAGCTGGCCGAGGGCGCATTAACTAGTCCTGTTGATGATGAACAGTGCGTGTGACAGACGAGATAGGATTAAATCCGATGATGTAATGCGTCATTTCCAGAAAGTTATAGAAGCTTAAATACTTTGCATCTCGAAATTACTTGTAGAGCACAGGTCGTCTCTTTGAACAGCACCGTGGAATTGTTTACTCCCTCTGAAGAAAATGTTAACTACTTTGGTATTTTGAATGTCCCCAATGTCAAGTACTCCATTATCTTTTCTGATTTCCTATACAGTATTTATTTTCTGAAGGTTAGCCTGCAGGCCTGGGGCTTCATCCTTACAGCTCATGAAAGTATTTTGCCTATTACAGTTCTTTGACTGGCAGCACAGATAATCATATTCATTGTCATTAGGCCTGAACAATATGCAAAAAGAAATACAATTTTAGTGAGTGGTAATTTTTTCACATTTTTTTTGACAAAATAAAGAAATCAAAGATGTGACCTTTGCTGGGGTCTGTATGAAATATACATATATATATTTGTAGGCCAGTGTATCTCTGTAGCACCACAATGCTTCATTTATAACTCTGTGTTGTATGTATTTTATCCTTAATCAAACCATAGCAGCTCCTGCAGTTTGGTTCTTGCACACTAACTAATGTTATTATTTAAGGCAAAATGGTCATGCTATTTCATTAATCATTACACAGTAACATACAAATAAGATGCATAAAAGAAGCCCAAATATAGAAAAACTGGCCTTTATTTAGTCTTTTTACATATGGCTTGAGCTTTTCTTTTATTAGAAACAGGTTTTACAAAAGGTTCTGAAGACTTTCAAATCAACCACAGGTGGAAAATCATGACGATGTTGGTGAGACTGTAATGGTACATCTACCATCAGAGGCTCCCACACCGCCACGAAGCAGTCACAGATAGAAAACAGCAAGGAAACAGTTGTCTCGAAACACCGCAGTACAACATCAGACAAGGGACAAACCAGATGGACTGAGTCAATTCGAATGCTGTAGTCACAGATAAGATTGCTAAGATACAGAGCAGACATGATTCCCTTTTGTGCACCCGACGATGCTCATGTCTCATTTAATTCACAAATGTTTGACACCCTGCAGAGCCAAAACCGTTGACGTGAAATAAAACATTTGATCTCTCCGCTCTTCACGCCCAACAACGCTCTCTGTTCCATCACGGCTCACAAATGTAAGAGCAAAATAAAAGACTACAAAAGCAAAGGCCAGTTCCTCGTCTTGGCCCAGTGTTGTGTGACCTGATGCATGTTGACCGTTTCCATTCTCTACACAGTAAACTCCAGTCGTTAGCCACCACAACATCAAATTTCTAAACATGATCAGTATTTTCTACATGTCTAATTACTACAATACAGCTCTTTCAATCAGTTATTTGATTCAGTGGAATTAGAAGACAGAATCAAGAGTATCAAATTCATACTTAAAAATCATTAACACCGCATTACATTAGATTGCACTGCATCTAGGTTCAGTTTTCAACGATCCATCGGCTGACACTCGACGTATATAAAAGTTGTTTCAATTTCCAGACAGGTTTTAAGGTTTAAGTCCATCATGAGACCTTAGTTCAAAGTTCTTGACACAAAAGGTGTTGCATAAACAGGATATGAAGTCTTTTGCATACAGAAGTGTGCAGAGTGGACTCCGTCTCATGTCTCTCTCCTCGCCTTCTTCTTCTTTGCCGGCTTGGGAGCCTGGCTCTCTTCAGGTTTTTCTGTGGAAACGCATAAAAAATAAAATAAAAACAAAAATGATGATGATGATGCAGGGACAACAAATGTGCATGAAATTTTAATCAATCCGTCTCCGGTTCAGCTTCAATAAGCAACAATGAGCAACAGTAACTCTGATTCTTGAAGTTTACACAACTTTGTAAGCAAGAGAAGCAGTAAGTGAACTTACACACTTACACTTAGTAAATGCAATTGTTGAGCTATATATGGGAGCAACAGTTTTCAGCTGGATGGCCTATGAGAAATCAGCATTTTCTAAAAGTTACTACTAAATCCACATAAACCCAGATATTCCCCGTCAATCCAAACATCTGATCGAGGCTCTTTATCCGAGGAAGAACTTGAGGGGGTGGACATGAGGCTATAAAAATATCCAGGACATGTAATGCTGTCTCTCTGTAATCTGACACAGTGTGACACTGTTACTAAGAGCAAGACAGAAAGCTGTTCCAGTGCTATACTAGTAAGTGGACTATCAACACACAAGCAGTAGTTGGCCATTGTAAAAGATGGTTGATGTGGAAAAACACACAATTTATTGAAATATTATGGAAGTCACAACTTGGCCATGTGCAATATCCAAATCACAACCAAAGTACTGTAGTGTTGCAGAGATGGCCTGGTCTCCAGATATTAGAAAACATCTGTCACATCCATCATGATGAGATATTTCCCCTACGGCAGCGGTTAGCATTACGTTACCTTCTGTATGGCTAATGGCTAATGTGCTTACTTTGTTGTGTTGGAGCAGAAAGGTTGTTCTGCTTGGCAGTGGGCTCACCATCAGTTGGCTTCTGTGGCACTTGTGTGACAGGGGGTTTCTGGGATATGTTGTCCTTCACTGGTTGCTCCACTCTTGCCTACAGGAAACGGGAAACACCATTAGTCGTGATCACCCCGGCGAGGGTTCAGGCAGATTAAAGCCTGTGTGTGAGATATTAGTGCCACTGACCTCCACAGCAGCCGCTTTGGCAGGCTGGACGGCAGCAGTATTCTCCTGAACAGGTGGCTGCTTCTTCACTGAGGCCGCAGGTGCCGCCTCCTTCTCTGGCTCCTCGCCCTTCACAGGACAACAGAACACAAGCCAAGTTTCAGTTCAAAGAAAACTTCAGAATTACCATTTTATTTTATTTATTTATATTACTATTATAAATAACATATTATATTATTACATTGTGTAATATATGTATTTAAGTGCAAAGCCACAGGACCTTGCACGTGTGTGATTGGTCGCACTATATTCAGGCTATCTGGATTTTTAGATTCCAAAATCTGCAAAACAAATCTCTCTGCAGTCTGTGTGAGGATTCTCACTAGCAGTTACCTGGCCAGCTGCCTCCTCAGCAGCCTTCTTCTTCTTCTTTTTCTTCTTTTTAGTTTTCGCTGCTCCATCGGCAGCAGACTCTCCCTTGTCTTTCTCGTCCTCATCATCATCCTGAGAAGCACACACGGATAAAGCAAGTTAACTCAGTTATAAAAATAAAGCAGCAAACAGTGTCTTTATACACGTGTCTGCATCGATTTGGATTTTAACTGAATCCATCAGAAGTGCTATGTTAAATCGGTGGAGCACTGTAACCCAATGCAGGATTAGTCTTACTCTGGTGCCACCTGGTGGTTGTACCAAAGAACAGCATTGACAAACAGCAATGCCTGCAACTTTACTTAAATTTAAGTTAATCATTGTAACAATTCTATAGTGTTATCCATATCACTTATATGAATCACACCAGTGTACCTCATGCTATGACAAGCCAAACTGTCTGCCATGAAGGGTTAAAGCATAATCTGTATACATCCACTCAGTCCTGAGAAGTGGTCTAACCCGACACAGTTAAAGAACCAGGACAGCTGCTCAAGACCTGCACCCAGAGGAGTCATCAATTGCTGGGTTCTTATTTTTAAAACTTCCAGGTAACTCTGTCAATACTTCGTTTTGTTCATACTTACAACCGCTGCAATCAGCAGATTGATCTTTGCAGGCTCCAGTAGGGGCCGGTCCTCAGCGGGAGGGGGCTCGGGAGTGGGTTCTTCATAGTTGCCCCAGGCTTCAGAGGGGGCGTTCCAGTCAGAGCTGGGATCGACTGAACCACCATCTGAGAAACACAAAGGCGCAGTTAGAAGAGTTTCATAACTAAGAAGTTACATAGAGCAGCTGAAGAACAGCAGTGTACTGGCTGGCCTTACTGAGTCCGGACCACTCATCGTCCACTCTGGGCTGACTGAGCGAGGGCAGGTCCCACACAGGCTGGGGCTCTACAATGACACAAGGACAAATAACTCAACCTGCCATCCACGTGGGAGGCTTTGGAAAGACTACGCCATCTAGGGGTGTGAGACAGGTTTAACAGCCACTTGTCATATCATCAGTGTGTTGTATAATTACCAGCAGTACCAGCACTCAGTCCAGCTAAAGTCACCAGATTTCGCTCCGTTTTCGGTATCCCAGACCATGTGTCTGAAACACACACATTTCACACATACTATGACGTCATTGTTGATGAGGACTGCTTACACACATATACACACACAC